TGATGATGATGATGATGATGATGATGATGATGATGATGATGGTGATGATGGTGATGATGATGATGCTGCTGCTGATGATGATGATGGTGATGCTGATGATGATGATGCAGATGATGATGCTGATGGTGATGATGATGCTGATGATGATACTGATGAGATGATGATGATGATGATGATGATGATGATGATGATGATGCTGATGATGATGATGATGATGATGATGATGATAATAATGATGCTGATGCTGATGATTGACGATTATGAGGAGGAGGGGAAGGGGAGGGGGAGGGGAGGAGGAGGAGGAGGAGGAGGAGGAGGAGGAGGAGGAGGAGGAGTTGGAGGAGGGGATGTTGATCATGATGACGATGATGATGATGATGATGATGATGATGATGATGATGATGATGATGATGATGATGATGATGATGATGATGATGATGATGATGATGCTGATGCTGATGCTGATGATGATGATGATGATGATGATGATGATGATGATGATGATGATGATGATGATGATGATGATGATGATGATGATGATGATGATGATGATGATGATCATGATGATGATGCTGATGATGATGATGATGATGATGATGATGATGGTGAGATGATGATGCTGCTGCTGAGGATGCTGGTGATGATGCTGCTGATGATGATGTGGTTGATGATGATGCTGATGATGCTGCTGATGATGATGCTGGGGGTGGTGGTAGTGGTGGTGATGATGATGTTGTTATTGATGACGATGATGAGGAGGAGGAGGAGGAGGAAGGGGACGAGGAGGAGGAGGAGGAGGAGGAGCAGGACGAGAAAGAGTAGGATCAGCATGATGATGATGATGATGATGATGATGATGATGATGATGATGATGATGATGATGATGATGATGATGATGCTGATGATGCTGATGATGATGATGATGATGATGATGATGATGATGAGGAGGAGGAGGAGGAGGAGGAGGAGGAGGAGGAGGGAAGGATGAGGAGGATGAGGAGGAGGAGGAGGAGGAGGAGGAGGAGGAGGAGGAGGAGTGGGGAGGATGAGCAGGAGGAGGAGGAGGAGGAGGATGAGGAGGAGGAGGAGGAGGAGGAGGAGGAGGAGGAGGTCAGGGAGGAGGAGAAGGAGGAGGAGGAGGAGGAAGAGGAGAAGGACGACGACGAGGTCTTCCAAAGTATCGGTTGGCGTATTCTCCAAGCAGCGCCGTTCTCCAGCGCCTTTTCTGCCTCTGCCGGTGTTGGTGTTTACTCTTTGGCATATCCGCGTGGTCGTGATCTCGCCTGGGCTCGGGTTATCCATGGGGGCATTTGCTACCGCGTCTCCTGCCTGTGCCATGGCGGCTCCTTCTCTTCCACCGGGGGTTACTCTGTTTTGCAAAACGGCTGCGCCTCGTAGTGCGTCCTCTGCTTGTGTCGGTCTGGGCGTTTCCTCGTCAGCGTGGGTCGTCTGGGGTCGTCTCCGAATCAGCGGCGTTTTGTAGCGCGTATCTTTCCTGTGTCAGTGCGTTGTTCCTTCTTCAGCGTGGGCTCGGGGTGCTTTCCAAGCAGCTGCGTTCTGTAGCGCCTCCTTTTCTTGTGTCGTTGCGGGCGTATTTTCTGCAGCGTTGTCCTCGAGTCGCCTGTGCTCGTCTACACAACGGTGGCATTTTCTAGCGCGTCTCTTCCTTGTGCGAGCCAGCGCTGTCTCCTCAGTCCTGGGTTGGCGCGATCTCGAAACAGCGGCGTTCTGCAGCGCCTCCTCCGCCAGTGTCGGTGTCGGCGTCTCCGCTGAAGCGCCAGGCGAGTTAGGCGCTGGGTGAGGTTCGCGCCAGGTGTCTCGACCGGGGGGTCTGGACTGGGGGTGCGGACCAGGGGGTTCGGGGGTGGACAGAACCCCCAACAGTGACACGTCGATTAGTGAATTGTCCTTTTTCGGCTCTCGAGAGGGCGCCGCGGCCGTTATTTTCCAGGCTCGCGCCCGCCAGGTTTGGGCCCGAGGTCGTTTTCACTAAACCACGTTTTGCTAAAGGGGGGTCTGTCCATCCCCGAGGGGTCCAGACCGCGGGGTTGGCGGCTGACTGCAGGTGGGGCGTTCCCGAGAGACCCGAGCACCTCGGAGGCGCGTCCCCCTGCCCAAAGCGCGGGGGTGTCGCCCAAGGGGCCTGCCTTCCCAGCGGTCCGTGCAGGCTAAAGCCCCTTGGAGGCGTTCAAGGTTGGGGTCGGGCGCTCAGGGTTGCAAGCAGGCGACGGCCAGAACCTCTTGGGATGCAGGTGGTCGGGGGGGGGGTCCTTCTCTTCGTCGTCGTCCTCCTCCTCCTCCTCCGGCTTCTGCTGCAGGGTCCAGAGCCGAGCGGTCTGCCATCCCGATTCGGACTTCGATTCAGGCGTGACGTGCTCGACTCCGACTGATCCGTTGCCGAGCTCCACCTCGTGAAGGGGGATCTGGTGCGTCAGACGCTGTGTGAAGTTGGCGCCAGGTGAGTTGGATTGTTTTGACAAGCAGCGGCGTTTTGTAGCGAGTGCTGCGCGTGTGGCCGTGTGGGCGTTTCTTTATCACACTGGTCATTGAGTCGTCTGGGGCAGCGTCAAAAACAGAAACGATTTGTAGCGCGTTCCTCCCTGTGACAGTGGCCCGTTGCTTCGTAAGCGTGGGTTGGGGGCGCTATAGAACGCACAGGTGTGGTTCGAGCAGGGAGGAAGCCACAACGCGGCACATCACATTACCGCATTTGAAAGCAAGGCAGCACACAGAGGGCAGCAGCAGTCGAGGCAAGCGGAGATCCCACGTCGCTCCCTCCTCCCCTTCCTTCTCGACCCCCTCTCTCCGCCACTCCCAGTCCTCCCCCCCTCACCTTCTCCTCCTCCTCCTCCTCCTCCTCCTCGTCGTCCTCCCGCCACCCCTTCTTCTCTTCCCCCTTCCCCTCCTCTTCCCTGCGCTCTGCGACCAGGGCGGCCGGCGGCGCGGGCGCCCCTGCCAGAGTCCTGCCCGCCGTCGCCGCTGCGTGGAGAATCCGGTGCTCCCATGTGGGGCCCCACCCCCTCGGCGCCTGCACGCCGGCGGCAGCACGTGCCAGATCCACGCGTGCCGGACGTGTGTTCGAAGCCGTGCCTCCGCGCCCGCATTCTGACACGTGGGGGATCCGGCCGCCCGTTTCGGGTACCCCCCCGTTTTTGCGCCTGCGCTCGTGAAGGCACTTGGCACATTCACGCGTGCCAGATGCGCGTTCAACCCTCCCACCCATGCGCGCGCGTATTTCTTCCATGTGGGAAGTCTGATGCCCCATATGGGATGCCCCCCTCTGGCGCCCGCGCGCGTGAAGTTGGGCGCCGAGGGCGCGCATGCCGGGCGCGCCCTCGGCGCCCACCTCTTCGCGGGCGCCCCGTCGTTTGAGATTCCCTCGTCGGCGCCCGCACGCGCGAAGATCTGTGCCAGGCCCCTGCTATCCGCGCGCGTATCTGCACGCGTGAAGAATCCGACGCGCCCGTATTGGATAGCCCTTTGGCTACGCGCGTGAGGGCCCGTGCCAAACCCACGCGCGCCTGACGCGTGCTTGATCCCCCCATCCGCGCACGTTTTCTTCTTGTTTAGAGTCGGTAGCCCGCATGTTTCTGCGTGGGGAGAACCCGGCTCGTATGTAGACATCAGGTGCAAGCGTAACAGCGGTCCTGTCCAAGGAGCCCCCAGGATGGGACTCCGACCGCAGTGTGGGCGTGGGGGACCTGCGCGCTTGGACGTGGACCTGGACTACAAGATCGTTCTCCCGGTGGCCCAAGATCGTTCCCGAACGGCCTAAGGTGCCTGGAAGGCGGCTCGAAAGGACGTGGACACCAACGCAGCCCCACAACGCTCTGATGTCACCCCAGGAACTTTCAAGATGCCCCACGAGCGGTCCAACCGAGCTCCCGCGGGGCCCCTGAGAGGCCGAAGTGCTTAATCCCCCCTCGGTTCTCGAGGAGTGCAGCGTTGCCGCTCTTGCGGTCTTTCAAGCTTCAAGGCGGCCCAGGAGCCCAGGCGGCCCCAGGATGGCCCCAAGCTGGCCCCAAGCTGGCCCCAAGAGAGGCCCACGGCGGCCCAAGTGGGCCCCACAACGGCCAAGAGGTCGCCGTAATGGCCTCAGGATGGCTTTGCGAGAGTCCAAGACGGCTTCGAGAGGCCTCAGGCGTCCTAAGAGGGCCTCGAGACATCCCAAGAGGGCGCCAAGAAGGCCCAAGAGGGCCTCAGGAGGCCCTCAAGAGTACCCAAGAGGGCTCCCCGAAGAGCCCCGACAAGCTCCAAGACGACCCAACTGGGCCCAATCGGGTTCGTTCTCCGTTGTTGATCGCCCAAACCTGCGCTGCGTCTCCTAAAAACGGTCTGCCACATATTCTCCTCCCAAAGGCAAGGGGATTGCGGTGACTCAGAGCGGGCGTCCTAGATACTTCTCCTTTCCTTCTCCTCCTCCTCTTCCTCCTCCTCGCCGCTCTTTCTCATCCGCGCTCCTTTTCCTGCCTCAGCTGCCTCACCACTCTTATTGTTGCATCTTCCTCCCTCGTGGCAGATGCCTTCCTCTTTTCTTTTTTTTGTTTCCTCGTTTTTTTCCCGCATTGAAGAGGTCACAACAATGCGCCGCCATGAGGACCCTTTGCGCATGAAAGCCAGTCCATGACCTGGGGTACTCATGTTTGACATGCCTGCAGCCGCTCGGCGGAATTAGCTCCACGGCGTGCAAGACCTTAACACGCCATCGTCACCGTGCCGTTCTGGATTGTCGTGATACGGTTTCTCTTCCGCGCTATGTCCTAGCGCCCGAGCTCGCTAGAACCTGACCGCGCGCGAAACGTGCGCGGTGGTGCCATCCAAAGCTAGATTCGTGGCTGTAGGTTTCGGTTAGAGATGGCGTTACCACCTGGATTCCCAGATCCACTGCTTCAGCCGAACGCTGTCGGTGGCGCGGGTCGCTGTATTTGATGGGCGCCGCTCTACATGAATACTATTCGGTGAAGTTGTTTGTTTGTCCTACCGCTCTAATGCTTGCGGGCATGACAGACGTGTCGCATGTGTGCCCCGATGGTAATGATTATGCTGCTGATGATGATGGTGATGATGATGACGACTGATGACGATGGTGATGACGATGATGCCGGTGCTGTGGATGCTGGGGATGCTGCTGCTGATGATGATGCTGATGAGGAGAAAGAGGAGGAGGAAGAAGAGGAGGAGGCATGGGGGCGAGGAGCAAAAGACGGAGGATGTGGCACATACCCCAGTGCGCTTTTGTCAGCAGCGCGCCGCGCAACCCAGCCAGGAGCCCAAGGACGCCCTTGCGCTCCTCGACAAGGCGCCCATCCGTTTTGATGAGTTTCTGTGGTGCCCCGGATCCAGGGCCCTGGCGGAGCTCGTTCCCTCCACCTTCTCGTGAATCAGGATGCTGGACACACGTGACGCGGCCGGCGTGGACGAGATCTGGATGTGTGGCCGCAATTTTGGCCGTCCAGGCCGGGCCTCCGCATGTGCACCTCGCGCGCGGCCTCCACTGGAGTCCAGCCGTGCGCGTGCTTCCAGCTCCCAGGTGGTGCACGTGGCTGGAAGGGGAGGCCAAGAGTCTAGGCATCCCTGATGGGGTCAGAGTAGATGGGGTCAGATGACCGCGCCGCATCATCGATGCATCACCGATGCATCGCCGATGCATCGGCGATGCGGCTCGATGTGGGGCGCGATGTTCGCCACGCGGACGTAGAAGCTGCATCGCCGACGTCGCCGCTGCATAGCCAACGTCGCTGATGCGTCGCTGATGCATCGGCGATGCGGCGAGGTATTCCGACCACATCTGCTCCGACCCTATCTGGGAGGCCTCTCGAGCTCCCGAGCTCGGGAGGAGGAGGAGGAGGGGGTGTGCTCCCGAGCTCGGGAGGAGGAGGAGGAGGACGAGGAGGAGGAGGAGGAGGAGGAGGAGGAGGAGGAGGAGGAGGAGGAGGAGGGGGAGGAGGAGGAGGAGGAGGAGAAGGAGGGGGAGGGGGGAGGGGTGGGTGTCCTCTCGGGCCTCCTGGCCTCTCTGCTCGCCCGCCTCGCTTTTGTGCCCGCTCCTGCCCCGCCTCGCCGGCCGCGAGGCCCCGGAGCGTCAGGGCCTTGGCTGCACCGCGTCGAGAGCAGGAGGTATATTCGGGGGTGGACAGACCGCCTACCCTGACACGTCGATTAAGGAATTGGCCGTTTTCGGTTCGCGAGAGGAATTGGCCCTCCCTGGCGCGCGGAGCGCGCCAGGGGCGGCGCCGGAGGCACCGCCAGGGGGCCCCAGCGCCGATCCCAGGAATCCGCGCGGACCTCCGAGTTCTATGCTTATGCCATTGCTTGCTGCCTTAATCGTCTTCGTCGGACGTCGCAGAAGAAACAGCTGCATAACAGATAAGTTTTCGGGGACGGACAGACCGCCTACCCTGACACGTCGATTAAGGAATTGGCCGTGCTCGTTTCGCGAGAGGGCGTCGCAGCCGTCATTTTTGCGGGTCCAGTGTCCGTCGGTTTCGGTCCCAGGCTGTTTTCACCAAGGGGAGGTCTACTGAAGGGAGGTTTGTCCACCGCCGATCTATACAGCGAGAGCTAGTATACGGTATACGGTAGGTGCGCGTCGTGTCGTCCGGCGGCGATCCCGCCGCCGGTGTTCAACCTCAAACGCCGCCGGCGAGCCAGAATCGGTCGATGTTGAACGATCTGACGCTTCGGAAACGGTCGAACGTTCGAGTTTGAACGATCCCCGCGGAGTCAGGAACCAACGCTGGGGTCGACCCACACGAACCTGGCGTAGCCCAAGTCGGCGCTTACAGCTGGTTGCGAAAAGAATGCCCATGTCGGGTCTGGGTAGCAAGGCATCGAAACGCGCCCCCCTCGCCCCCCGCATTTCAAGCTTGCTGGGGCAGCGATGGGCCCGTCGCAAGAGTGAGCGTTTAGATTGCCTCACTTTGTAAGCCTTTCCATCGCGGTGTTCCGCCAACTTTGGGATGCGGGGTGTGTGGGGCCCCCTCGGTGCTTTGATAGGTGGGCGTTTATTGCATCGAACGCCCCCGAGGGAGCAGACACCGCCTCCCCACTTTTGTAGGAACCCAGCGTTCCTCTGCGAGGGTGTCGATGGCGATCCCAGAGGGTCCAAGAAGGCTTGGAGAGGGCGACGCAGCGAGGGCGGCAACATGCCTTGCAGACGGCATGACATGGCACCACGCGTGTCGAAGTCTGGGGGCGACACTTGCGGCGGCATGCGCAAGCGCAGAAAGAAGCACACATGAGCCATGGTGGGGCCCTCCGACGGGGAAGTCGGCGGACGCTGCAAGTAAACGGAAGCGAGATGTGCTGTCCAGTGACTTTTCAGGCGGACCAGTCGGCGCCAGAGAGCCCCAAAAGAGTCGACAAACAGCCGTAGAGGGCTCCGAGAGGCTCCGAAAACAGCCCAGAGGGGCACCCTGCATTGTCGAAGACGGCGGCGGAAATGTAAGAGGGATGCGGAGAGGTAAGCAAATCGGTCCGAGTTAGTTTTGTTGCCTCAGAAGCTCTCCAGGGACCTCTGAGGGCGCCCAAGACGGCTCAAGGGTGCGCCAAAAATGCGGCCAGACGGCCGTAGATGGGTCCGAGAGTCTGTCAGGACGTCCAGAGGGAGCATCCGCAGCTTCCAAGATGGCCGCAATAACCCGCAGAGGTGAACGGGAGCTCCAGGAGAGGTGGGCGTTTCTTTTATCGCTTCGCTCATTCCACCGGCCCATTGTCGCGCACCGGGAGACAGTGCACAAGAAGCTCTTGGGAGTTCCCCGCGGCTTTCGGGGACGTCTTAACCTGGAGCACTTTTGGAGCTCTTGAGGGCCTCTTTGCGGCCTCCTGACCGCCTGTTGGGGGCCTCTTGGGGCCTTAGGGACCTCTGGGGACCTCCTGGGGGCTGCTTATAGCCGAGGGCTCGAAATTTTGTTTCGTGTTCCCCCTCCGGGGCCTCTCTTGGGGCGTTCTTGGGGCCTTCTTGGGCCGTCTTGGAGTCGTCTTGGGCGGTCCTGGAGCCCGCTTGGGCCGTCTTGGGGCTTTCTTGGGGCTCTCTTGGACCCTCTTGGGGTGATCTTGGGGATCTCTTGGGCCGTCTTGAGGCGTCGGGAAGCCGAAAAGGGGGAAACGCCCAAATCTGTCCAAAACCCAAGGGAAATCAATTAATGTTAACTCTTGGGGCCCTCTTGGGCGTACTTTCGGGAGCTTCTTGGGGCGTCTGGGGGCAATCTTGGGCATCTTGGAGCGATCTTGTGGAATCTCGGAGCCCTCTTGTTCTATCTTGGGGGCCTCTTGGCCCTTCTTGGGGCTTTCTGGAGGGCCTCGAGGGCGGCGCCCACCCGACCCGATCCGGCCGGGGATCTGTGACCCGAACCAGCCGGGGACCCCACGGGGTACTTTTCGTCCAGGGACCCCCAGGGGCCGCTCCGCGCGCGCAAAGTAGAAATACTGTACGCAGTTACCGTAGATCTTAGCACGCCTCTGGCCCGATGGGCCGGCGAATTTCGCAAACATCGCTCCAGCTCGATGTGTTTCACAATGTGTGAGTCGCGTGAGCCACGCGCGAGATCCTTCCCGACTCAAACCTCCACATCGGTCGCAGCGTGGTTGCATCGGCACGTGGGGAGCTTGAGTCAACATGCTGCGCTCAACCCAAAGGATAATTTGCTCGTTTCCACAAGTCGTCACGGAAGGTTAGCAGACTTCGTTCGCAGTTGGCAATGACAGGACGCAGAGACTTCATGAAACATGGGCTGGAGTGTGTTGACATAGTGTTCGCCATGCAGCATCGCAACATCGTGCATAATGTGATCTCGTAGTCGTTTTTTTGGTTGCGCTTGTAATTCGTCAGCGTCCCAGGCGGCCAGTGAAGGTCCGGGCGATTTGAACAAGTGGCTGACCGCCGAGGCAAGGACGTTGCGTGTCTTTGCGCCACGCATTCTTCTCTTGAGCTTTGATGTATGTGTACGTGTGTGCCAGGTGCGCTCGCGCTCGTCGTACCCAGGCTGGGGTGCTTCCGTGCGTGTCTCACACATTATCTGAAGTGCTTCGCTCTCTGCTGCCGCCCCCTTCAGATTGGTTGCACAGCCACGCTTGGTCGGCAGGCTGGCATCGGTGTTCTCTTGTCGGTTGGCTGGCCGGCAACACGGCTGATTTGGCTTGTTGCGTAACGTGAGACTTGGCAATTTATTCGGGCTGTCTGCTGGCTGGCGGGTTGCGCGCGTTATATATATATATATATAGGGTCCATGTATGAATACACGGCGACCAGGTCTCTGGGCCCAGGGCCCCCCCTTTCTCAAAACTCCCCCATCCCCCCCGCACCGGACTTGAGTCCCTGGGGCCAGCGGGTCGCTTTCGGGCTCCCAGATAAGTTCTTTACGCTTCGCGTATCCCCACCAGCCCATTTCACAGCAGCAACTCTCGCGAAGCATGCCGACAGTCGTGTTTTTCAGGCGTGTGTCCGCTTGGCCCCGCATATCTCCCCTGTTCCTCCTTCCTCCCGCCTCCTTGTACATCCTCCTTGTGAGGGGAGCGGGAGAAGGACGAGGCGGAGGAGGAGGGAGAGAAAGCGCTCCTCGTGATTTGAGTCGTTTGGGGTTTCTCGTCCTGGTGTGAGTCGTTCGGGCCCTTCTTCCTGGTGTGAGTCGTTCGGGCTCTTCGTGGTGTGAGTCGTTCGGGCTCTTCGTCCTGGTGTGAGTCGTTCGGGCTTCTCGTGGTGTGAGTTGTTCGGGCCCCTCATCCTGGTGTGAGTCGTTCGGGCCCCTCCTCCTGGTGTGACTCGTTCGGGCTCCTCGTGGTGTGAGTCGTTCGGGGCCCGCGTCGTGGTGTGAGTCCTTCGGGCTCCTCGTGGTGTGAGTCGTTCGGGCGCCTCGTCCTGGTGTGAGTCGTTCGGGCCCCTCCTTGTGGTGTGAGTCGTTCGGGCTCTTCGTGGTGTGAGTCGTTCGGGCCCCTCGTCCTGGTGTGAGTCGTTCGGGCTCCTCGTGGGGCCTCTTGGGGGCCTCTTGGAGCCTCGTGGGGCCTCTTGGGGGCCTCTTGGGGGCCTCTTGGGGCCTCTTGGGGGCCTCTTGGGGGCCTCTTGGGGGCCTCTTGGGGGCCTCTTGGGGGCCTCTTGGGGCCTCGTGGGGCCTCTTGGGGGCCTCTTGGGGGCCTCTTGGGGGCCTCTTGGGGCCGCTTGGGGGCCTCTGGGGGGCCTCTTGGAGGCCTCTTGGGAGCCTCCTGGGGGCCTCTTGGGGCCATCTTGGGGCCTCTTGCGACCTCCTCAGAAGCGCAAATGAGAGCCGCCCCCTGATAAGGACAAAATGAGCCCAAAACCTTTTGTAAAATCAATGATTCTGCTAGGAGGGAAGATGAGCGCGGCCCCCTCAGAAGGCCAAAGTGGGGCCAAAGCCATCGTAAAATCAATGATTTCTGCTTCAAAGACGAGCAGAGGGGCCAAACTCGCCCCCCCCGTCGGGGCCAGAATCCTCGTGAGGGTCGTCGTTTTTTGGCCCTCCCAGGAGTCGAAATGGACCCCCCTGAGAACGCTCGGCCCGCCCTCTCCAGGTCCAGGGGAGGGGGTAGGGGGAGGGGTAAACCCCTCCCCGAAGGGGAAGAAGGGGGGTTGAGGACAGAGCGGGCTCTCTAAACCACTCACGCCCAAAGGGCTGGTGGGATTCTCAGGCCCCCAGAGACCTGCAGGACGTCTCCAGTGGGCGCCAAGAGGCCGCCAAGATTGACCAACGTGGCCACAGAGGCTCGTAGATGGCACCGAGCTGGCAGAAGAGGCCACAAGGAACGCGCGAGCGGGTCCAGCAGGGCCTGCGAAAGGGCCTCTAGAGTCTAGAGGCACACTCTGTTGATTATCCGCTTGTTCCCTACCCTAGGCTCTGCCTAGAGGGTTCTTACCATGTATCTTCAAGGGGCCGGGCAGTGGAACGCACCCCGGGCGGTTCCCCCGCCATCCGCCCCGCGGTTCCCCCAGTTACGTCCCCTTAGCTTAGCGTTGCTTATCTCATCTTAGCTTAGCTTATTTCATCTTAGCTTAGCTTAGCTTCATCTTAGCTCAGGTTTATCTTAGACTGGATACGGAGCATTCTCAAGCACACCCAGTGAGCGAATGCGAAAACATGCGTGTGTGTGTGCGTCTGTGCGCAGGCAAAGCAAAAACACAGTCAAGCAAAAGCAAACACAACATCAAAACAAGAGCAACATAAAAAGCACAAGCGAAAGCAAAGGCAAGGCAATGCAAAACAAACACAAAGCCAATGCGAAAGTGTAGATGTAGATGTAGATGTAGATGTATGTGTAGGTGTAGATGTAGATGCATATGTAGGTGTAGATGTAGATGTAGATGTGAGTCTCGCTGTTGATGTAGATGTATATGTAGATGCAGGTATAGATGTTAATGTAGCTGTCGGCGTAGATGTAGATGTAGTTTTCCTAGATGCTCCAACTCCTAGGTAGGGTCGCACTGGGATAATTTGTTCAAGGATTCTGAACTGAAGAGGCTTTCAAGAAGGCACCAATATGCCCAAATCAGTGAAGAGTCAAGGGGCAAGAGACATTACTTCTTGAAGATATCTAGCTTTTTTTGTTGCTCTCGATAAGCTTCTGAGGCTTCTGGATGGTCGTGAGATGGCCCGAGCGTGCCCCAAGAGGAACTCCACAAAGTCTCAAGACGGCCCCGTTGACCCCCCAGACTCTCCCACAGACGGCTTCCGAAAGCGTCAGACGGGCCAAGAGCGCCAGAGGAACCCGAGGGAGCCCCATGACGGCCGACCTGGGCCCTCAGGGCCCTTCAGGATGGCTCCGAGAAGGTCCAAGATGGCTTCAAGAAGGCCCTCGAGGCCGCCAGGACGGCCCAGCATGGCCTCCAGACGACCAAGACAACTCAAGATGGTCCCCAGACCCCCCCAGGAGGCCCCCAAGAGGCTCCCAAGAGGCCCTCTGGAGACCCCCAGGAAGCCCACATCCTTCAAAAGCCAACGGAGTGCTATGTGTTGCTCAAGGCCTCGTCTCTTCTCTTTCGATGTGCCTCTGAGGCCTCAGGATGGTCCAAATGGATCCACGGGAACCCGGGATCAGGGAGGACGCAGGACACAGGAGACGAGAGCGAGGAGGGGAGGGACAGCGGAGAGGGAACAGAGATTGGGGAGGGCGAGTAAGAGGATGAGTGCACATAATACCTCGCATGTTTCGAAGCATTTGCAAGACAGACATGGCGATACGCACCCACTGTGTCGAGACGTCGACTTGTGTTGCACTAGAGCCTAAGCGCGCGAGAAGTGCGCGCGTAGGTCTGGTGGTTACTGAGGGATGGTGGCATCGGCAGCGCCCTTCCATTTTAATTTCTGATGGTTCGAGGCTTCGGGAACGCGCGCGCCTGGCTATTTACGAGGACAGGGTCGATCTTTCCAGGATCGAGGTTTGAGGGTCGGACTGGCCCAAGACCAGGACAAATCGTCCCAGACCTTTCCAGAGCGCTCTCAGAGCGTTATGGAGCGCTCTGGAACTGCCGCGGCGCCCGATGCATCCTCCAGAGCCGCCGGACCTTAGAGATCCACGATGTATCTCGGTCTGGTTTTGTCCTGGTCCTGGCTTTGTTTGATCTCGTTCAACAACATCTCTAGCCTCTGGCTTCTGGCCTTCTGTATTTGATGCAACCGCCCCCCAGTCGCCCCTCCTGCTCCTGCTCCTGCCCCGACGGCGACGGCGACGGCGACGGCGACGGAAACGGCGACGATGGCAACGGTGGCGACGACGCCGGCTCCGGCAGCGGTCAACGGCACCGACGAAGGCAACGGCGCCGACAACGGCGGCGGCGACGACAACGGCGTCGACGACGGCGCCGGCGACGACGCCGGCCACGGCGACGGTGGCGGCGACCTCCTCGGCGACCCAGGCTCAGAGCGTGAATTACCTACCCCGCTTTCGCTTCCAGGCAAAACCAAGTCATACCACGCGCCTCCTCGTCAAGCGGCGTGACCAGTACAAGCCGTAGCTTGGCATCGCTTGGTATCTCTTGGAAGCGAGGTTGGTCAAAAGCGAGGTAGGTCTGTTTGCCCCCTGCAGGCGCGCAAGCTGCGCACCCTGGGCTCCTCCGGCGAGCCGGCCTCGAAGAGGCCTCCCGCCGTCGCCACCTGCCCCGCGTTGCCGCCGCCGCCGCCCACCCGTCGCCGCCGCCGCCGCGCCAGCGCAGCGCGCCAGGGCAGCGCCGCCGCCGCCGTCGCCGTCTCCGCACTCGTCGTCGTCGTCGTCGTCGTCGTCGTCGTCGTCGTCGTCGTCGTCGTCGTCGTCGTCGTCAGGAGGTGCACCGACTGCAGTGAAGAAGGCGAGCACGCCTGTCCCGAAGTGGGCTGCCCGTGGGGGAGGCCGCTTTCGGTGGGGCTTGGGGCCGGCAACGAAGAGGCCAGGGGGTGAGAAGTCGGCCCTGGGGAAGGTGTGGATTCCGGAGGGCTTGGCGACTCTTCTTCCATCGACTTGCGGGATCAGGCCAGATACGTCGAGGTAAGTTCAGGTCGATCGAGGTAGCTCCAGATGCATCGAGGTAGATCTGGAAAGCTGGAGCAAGTCGTGGAACTCTGGAGCAAGTCGTGTACGTTCCAGCGCGAGCCAAGCGACAACAGACGTCGATATCAACGAGTGGAGAGGCAGGGAGGCCCGCGCATCGAACTCTAAACACAGAGCGCCCGATGTCTGGGTACGTGGGCTCGACGACATGCACGTGCGGGTGGCCCTTCGTCAGGCTGACCTGTGTGTTGCGGGCCCACTGGGGTCCACAGAGTGCGATTGCGAAAGCAGCGACTCGCGCTCGTGGGCTTGGCCCCCCGCGCCCCCTACAGACGCGCATGTGGCCGATAGGGGAGCACTGCGTGGAGCGAAACTTCTGGCGGGAGGACAGGTAGCTGCCACGAGACGGACTCGGGGCCAGGACGAGCTTCCATGGAGTCTTCGGATTTCCTAGCTTTTGGTTGATGTGTTGGTTGTTGAGGCGGTGTGTAAGGACATTTTCAAGCATCACGACACTTATCTGCCCCGATACGCCCGTGTTGAAACGCAACACGTGCTGTGTTCACTCGTCCGTGTTAACATGCTGCGTGTTGTCTCGACACGTGTTGGTCCACCGCTGGCGAACGTATCGCGCCAGGCTTGCGTTTTCATTCTACGTGTTGAGCTCCGTGTCAGCACGCTACGTGTTGCGTGTTGCGTATCGGGGTTTCTAAGTCAAGACATGATCTCCAAATTTCGAACCACCATTTCGCAATCCCAGACAGTGGTTCGCGGGGCGGGTGCTGTCTGCAAGACCGGCCAGCCACCAGGTAGATTACAAGACATGCCGAAGGCTTCCAGGGACAAGGATCGTTTCGCTAGACCTGAGACCCCCCCAGGCCGACCTGAGGCCCCCCAGCTCGACCTTAGGCACCCCAGCAGCCACCGAACTCACCCTTCTTGAACCAGGCCTTATCGCCGTTGCCGAAAATTGTGACTAGGCCCGCTTGGGTAGCTTGTAACTGTGCATTGAAGCATCAGTAGCCGCCATCGCGGTTCCCGACCCCCTCCCCGAACCTGGCCAAGCGTAGGAGTGAACCCTTCGCTGCAGAGACCTCCGGTGTGGGCCCACAGACCTCTCCCCCCATTGGCGTGTGCGCTTGGGTTTGGCCCCCTCGTGGCCACCTAAAGCCGCGCACCAGGAGTCCCTCTTGCCTAGGGTAACTCTTGCGTGTGCGTAGCAGAGTCAATGCGGTGGGGGGTGCTCAGCGCCGAAATCCGCGCGGACCTCGAAAAACTTGTGCTTATGGAGTTGCCCGCCTTCAGGCCCTGTTGGCTGATGCCACCCCCCACCGCACCGTAGTCTCGTCTACGTACTGTTCCCCCCCGCCAGCAGTGCCCGCATGGTTGTGGCTGCTGGTAGCTGAGAGGCCACAGGTGGTCTCCGAGTGTTCGGGCAAGCCTAGACGAGCGCGCGCGCGCGATTCGCTGTTTTCCGACCTTCTACGCCCTGTCGCCACGCGCAGGGCCGCGACGCCAAAAAGCTTGTGGAGTTAATTGCTTGTTCTCCACGTCAGGGGGGCTTCCATCGGGCTTCAAATGCCCGAGTAATCTCCAGGGGCCTCTGGGGAGCCTCCTGCGGGGCTTGACTGAAGGGGAGAGGGCGTCGCAGACCCGCTCGACGCCTTCCAGGGGCATCCGGGGGCCTCCGAGGTCCTGGGCAACGGGCAACGTCAGGGGGGAATCGGCTCAGGTGGGCGGGTGCATCGACCCCCCTAGTCGCTCACTCATCGCCGATAGGGGGTCCCGTTCGTCCACCCCGGCCAGGAACGTGCGGATTCGCGGTCGCGGGCGCATCGCCGATCTATCGGTCGATGTTCCCCCCCCCTGGCCCTCCTTCCTTTTGATGAGCTGGTCCCCCCCGATCGTGCTCCCTCGTAAGGCGTCCCCCGCAGCGTCACAGCTTTTCCGTGGCGTGGCCCGGGGGAGCGGTTCCGGTCCGCACGGCCGGCATAAGAAGAGCGCGAACGTTTTTTAATACGTGTTGTTGTTCGCGCCGCGCCGCCATTTTTCTGGACGCTCCCGTGTTTTATGCGATTGCCACCCCGGCCCGCCCTCCGGCCGCCTGAGGCTTCGCCCGCCTGTGCCCCAATTAGAGCTGTGCGTAGCCCGCCTAGCTTTTACCGGAAGAGGTTCGCTCTCGGCCCGCAGACCAAAAACGTGTTTTGTGCGATTGCCACCTTCGGACGCTCACTGCTCGACATGGGCGCAGGCCGAAACGAGAGCTCCTGCGGGTTGGAATCACATAAAAGGGGGTGCTGCGGTCGGCCTTGCGCGGGAACGCCGACGATCTCGGCCGCTTCTGGAGCCCAAGAGGCCCCTCCAAGCCCTCGTGCCCTCAGTTTCTGCTTCTCCGGACAGCGCCGACGTCGAGAATTCACACTGCGCGTGCCCAGCAGGTGCTTCTTCTTTTCTACAGGCTCTCCAGAGCAGTCGGCTGTCAGAGGTTGCGCTGTCTGGAGAACTGCTCTCGCACGCTCGAGCGTGTCACCGCCGCGGCCACGCGCCGTGTGGGCGCCCTCCCTCCGACCGCGGACGGCTGCGGCACCCGAGCTCCTCCTGCTGGAGCCGGTGGTTTCCAGCGAGGAGAGAGCACGGTGGGACACTTCTGCTCAGCGTGTCGCGCCGCCGGCCCCGGCCCACCTCACGTTTCGGCGCGACACGCGAGTCACGTCCCAGTCCCCGAGCGCCCTCGCCCCGAGCTTCTCCCAGGCCCCCGCCGCGCGGAGCGGGGCGAGGTGCGACCAGCTCGCAGGGCGCAGCGCGTCGCAGGGGCCGCTGCCGAGACACGCTGAGCAGGCTCCTGACCGTGAGCTCGAGCCCGCGCTGCCCTCTGGACGGTTGCGGCCCAGAGGCGCTGGTGAGCTTTGCCATCGGGCCCGCAGGGCGTTGCACGGGCGGCGGCTGCCTGCCCCACGGCATAGCAGCGCAGGTCATGACCACAGCCACCGGGCCCGAAGCGGTGGAGGCCCTGCCGCCCAGACGAGCCCCAGACGTTCTCGAAGGGGACCCCTGTGCCCAGGCTCTTCCCGGAGGCCTGCGGGGCCTCTCTAAAGGGGCCATTTCCCAATGGCACTCCCAGGATGTTGCCGGTGTCTCGCGTGGATCCTCGAGGATGGTGAGCCGTTCTCGGAGAGCCTCTACTTGCGCCGGCGGGGCTTCGCAGTGGCCCCGAAAAGTACGTGAAGGGGGGAGTTCCGAAAAGCCTTGAAAGGGGCTCGAGTGATTTCCGAAGTAGGTCTCTATTCCGAAGGACTCTGCCGAAATGATTATTCCCAGATGATGGGCTTGGGGTATTTTTCAGTTCGGGTGTCGACAACTTCTCCCCTGAGACAGGACGGTCTGGAGTCTCGCATGTTCTGCGCCCGAGACCTTCGCACTCATTGCCATAAGGAGCATGCCGAATGGTGCTTTACCTAGAGGGCGAATGGTGTGATCATGAGGGCGTCTTGCGCAATCACCGATTAGTGGCATGGGACGGGGGAGGAGAGAGAGAGAGAGAGAGCGCGTGGGAGAGAGAGAGAGAGAGCCAGAGACAGAGGCAGGTAGAGAGAGAGAGAGAGAACAACCAAAAAACAAGGAGAGATAACAAGCAGATAGCGAAAGAGCCAGACAGAAACAGGCAGGAGGAGCTCAGCCGTCGAAAGGATCGGGGTAATGAAGCGCCTCTGGTGACAAGATGCGTTGTTGGCAGAGCGAGGACACAGCAGCAGTGTCTATGGAGCCTAATGCGTGAGGTCCAAGACTGCTGCCTGAAAGTGAGCGGTTAGCCCTGCCGCTTTTTCAATGCGATGCACGGTGTCTCGTTTATATCTCAATCATATGTCGGATCAGTCGCCCTATTTGTATTCTACCGCCACGGCTCACTTGGTCCCCTGGACTTGAATCCATGCTTCGATGTGCACAGAGGCGCACATCTCTACCTGTGTGCTGTTGGTGGGAGTGGTTCGTATCGAGGTGCATTCTGCTGTCAGCGCGCTGTCCCAGTGTCTTGTGCGCCAGAGCACTGGATTTAACAAGTGGTTGTCGCTAAGTCTGAATCGGCTGATGCAGTATGGTATAGCTCTCATGAGTACGGTGTAGGTCTTGCCAGCAGGTGGTAACATCTGAGCATTCTTGGTGCAACCAAGCCGCAATGGTCATCATGCGGTCCCGCTTCTTAGCTCCGGGCTCCCCCGTAGCGGGTCCGTCGCGACTGGACGCGTATCATGGAGCTGACAGTATTATCATTTGGAGCGGCGCGCGTTCTCTTAAGCGCATCTTCTCTTCGATGAGGGCTTGCTACCGCTGTCGAGTGACGTTTGCGATCAGGCCTGAGTCGTCTCTTGTTTTGATCCAAGCTCGGTTGCTCTGTACGTCCTTTCCTGGTTGCACATTGCTGATTCTTCGTGACCCGTCGGCATTGCAGACGCGCTTGCGACCGCCAGCGCTGCCGACAAACACAAGTGTCCTGACCCACGATTGTTCTACGCGCGTCGAGCTCATTTTCGGACAGAATCGGCATCATATGTGAACGCGTAGGCCTCGACGGAGATGACTTTTCACATTTGTGCTTTATCGGTAAGCCCTGCGATACGATTGCCCCATGCTTACGTAGCTTGCCCTTCGACGCCGTCATTCATTGGCATGCCATCGTATTCAAGCGAATTGTGCGAATTGTGCTATATTGCTACGGTGCTGCATCGTCCTTCCTCTCTCTCTCCCTCTCTCTCTTTCCTTCTCTTCGCAAAGCACTGCCCCTCCCCTACTCTTGCGCCCTCCTCCTCCTCCTCCTCCTTCTCCTCCTTCTCCTCCCTCCCTCCCTCCCACCCTTTCCCCCCTCGTCTCTCCTCCCTCCCTCCCTGCCTCCTCCTGCCCTCCTCCCCCCTGCAACCCCGCCGCTCCGCTCCCTCTCTGCCTCTTCCTCCCGTGCCCCGGGCACTGGCCGTCGCACCGCGCGGGGGTGGGGCGGGGCGACAGCGGGGCGAGTCGCAGATGCCGACCGACAGCGCACGGGGCACACGCAGCCGGGCACCGCATGGAGAAGCCTCCTCCCGAAGCGCCGGGCGCCAGCGTTTTTCTCGACCAGCTCGTGGGGCAGCCGGCCGGGTTTCTTGAGCACGCTCGCCCCTCCAGCGCCAACAGCAGAAGTTTACCCAGGTTTGTTTTAAGTACAGTGCCGTTTTTGATACATGCTCCGCGTGCGGATCATGTATTAAAAATGCAGGGATGTATTATAACAGCAACGATGAGTTCGAGCATGAATTTATTCATAGATTAACAAGGTATAACACATTTTTTAAATAAGCATCATATGTATTAAAAACTGCCCTGTAAGAAACATGGGGAAGCTGGCCCAGATTCTGCAACGATAGTTTTCTTTCTTGATCATATGCTCGGCTGCCAGGCACTTCTCGTCAGGGTGCCCTGGGTGTATTCGCCTGGCTTCCCGCGGCCGTCGAGGAAGCTGCTGCGTTCTCCGGGTGCACCCGGCTCCCCCGCCCCCCGGTGTGCGCACCGCGCGCGGTTTTCGGGGCAGGGTGTTGTGCAGGGGTTTCTGGCGACCGCGTCCGCGCTGTGCGTAAGAACATACAAGCTGGACACCCCTCGCCCTGACCCAGGCACTGACTCGAATCGCGCACTCGGCAACAAGACCGTTGGCCTCGGATCCCGGGGTTCCCGTTTCTCTTGTCGCGGTCCCTCTTGTGCGCAATACGCCAGGCTTCACGACATGCAGAACTTGAGCGCTCGCGAAGAGCGCGCGATGGCTCTAGTGCAGGTATGATTCAGAACTCGTCGTGGGAGTGTCGAGAGGTCTCGATCATTTTTTTGCTCTTGCCCATGCATCTGCATTGCCGCTATCGCAGCAAACACGAAGAGCTGTTTAGATGCCTCAGCTCATTGTGTTGCATATCCGCGACGCAGAACTGCGCAAACCCTCGTAGAGAGTTCGAGTTCATGTGTAGAGTTCCCCACCCAGAAACATGTTCATACGGATGCGTGGCTGCCCAATTCGAGTAGTGCCAGCTCCTAGCGTCGATCAGAAGTACACGTGGGTGTAACTGCAATCTTTGTGTGTTGCACTCGTGTTGCAAGCTGCCCCTTCTTCTCGCCCACAGTGCGTGGCCTTCAGCCGCTCTTCCTGTGCGCGTTTTGGTCCATGCGCCGCGCGTGGCTCGATGTGCAGTGCTGCTACCCATGATGGGCGCAACAGAGCCCCCGCCAGCAGGCGCTCGCCGCCAGAATACATTGTTGGGAGTGGTGGGTAATCGGGAGAGGAGTGCCATCGTTCGGGGACTGAACGATGGCATAAACATAAAAACTCGGATGTCCGCGCGGACTTCTCGGATCGGCGCTGGACCCCCCTCCCCGGCGCGCGGAGCGCGCCAGGGGCGGCGCCGGAGGCACCGCCAGGGGGCCCCAGCGCCGATCCCAGGAATCCACGCGGACCTCCGAGTTTTATGCTGCATGCCATTGCTTGGTCCCTGAATCGTCTTCGTCAGACGCCGCAGCAGAAACAAGTGCATAAAAGATAAGTTTTCGGGGGTGGACAGACCTCCTACCCTGACACGTCGATTAAGGAATTGGCCGTTCTCGGTTCGCGAGAGGGCGTCGCAGCCGTCATTTTTGCGGGTCCAGGTCTGTCGGTTTCGGTCCCAGGCCGTTTTCATTAAGGGGAGGTCTACTAAAGGGAGGTTTGTCCACCGCCGAAGTTTTCGGACCTCCGCGCAGACCTCGTGGCTCGGCGCCTGGCCCACCTGGCGGCGCCTCCGGGCGCTGCTCTTGGCTCGCTCCGCGCGCAAGCGGGGGGGTCCAGCGCCGATCCAAGAGCTCCGCGCGGACCGCCGAGAGCTTGCACGTCGGTCGTTACAAGTGGGTGTTGTTGGATCCCCAGAGGCCAATCCACTTCAGCCGCCTTCCTACTCCAAGGGTCGAACGGTTTTCCTTCTCCCCTTCTTTTCAGGACACGGGCGAAAATCCATTCTTCTTCCAACGCCTTCCTACATCACATTTCTACTTACTTCTTCCGACCGAAGGGTTTGTTTATATCAGAGTGGACGCCGAACGGTCTTACACTGTCCCCTGGTGCGTGACTGAAGTGGGGAGCCGTAGTCCGGCTTCTTGCTGAGTTCTCATTTCTAAAGAAGAATTATTGCTGATCTCCCTTTCCTGTGCCCAATGGGGTTTTATATTAAAGTGCTACTCCTGGGGCTCGCGCCTGGCTATCTGCGTGGGAAAGTCTTGCGCCTGAGATTGGCTAGTTTCCATCTGTGTTACCACAACAGCGGTTCCCGCCTGATACTTCTCACAGTGTATCCGTAAGGGCTTCGCCCGCATGCCGCAGGAGGCGGAGGAGGAGGCGGAGGAGGAGGAGGCGGAGGAGGAGGAATCGGAGGAGGAGGAGGAGGCGGAGGAGGAGGAACATGAGGCGGAGGAGGAGGCGGAGGAGGAGGAGGAGGAGGAGGAGGAGGAGGAGGAGGAGGAGGAGGAGGCAGGAGGAGGAGGAGGAGGAGGAGGAGGAGGAGGAGGAGGAGGAGGAGGAGGAGGAGGAGGAGGAGGAGAGGACGAAGCAGGCAAGGGGCAAGCCAACCCGTCCACGGCGCGGGGCGTCGAAAGCGCCGCCTTGGTACTTCCCGAGCCGAGTCAGTCTGTGCGGGTCCCGGGGCCCTCAGCTGGGCGAAGACGACCGGTGTGAAAATACCCATCGGTCGTTGAAAGTAGGTATTTTTGGATTCCCAGATTCCACTCTAGTTTCAGCGCCTTCCTACTTCAAGAGTCGAGTGGTTTTCCCTCTTCCTTCCTCTTCAGGAGGCGTGCGGAAACCCAATATATTTCCAACGCCTTCCTACTTCATGTTTCTACCTATTTCTTCCGACCGATGGGTAATGCAGTTCCCGGATGTTTGTGGTTTTTGGAAGCCGAAGCATCTGCCCTCTTCTAGGCCTTCGGAGGCAGGTGCCTCATGTGGAGGCTGGCGGATGTAAAAAGACGGCATCCGAAAGAGACGGCCGGGATTTTTGGTTTTGGAGCGTGTAGGCCGATCCTGGGTCCGTGTGGGGGCCGCTGGGCTAGAATCGGCGTAGGTGTGCACTTGCTGTCCTCTTGTGTCCCCCATACGCAGGTCGAAGGTTTTGAGGCGAGGCTCGAGGTGTTGGGTGATGGGCGGTTTTTGTTGACGCATGGACCGTGGCCCCGTCGGTGTTGTCGAGACCCACCGAGGTGGCCACGGGAGCGGGCACTGCTTCGCGGCGTAAGGATCGAGGATCGAGGTTGGATGACTGATGGTCGACGTTGTTGGGCCCTTCTGGTGGGGCGCCTTCGTTGCCACGGCTGGATCTGCTTCGAAATTCTGGCTTGAGCGCACCCTGGGAGAGGTTTTGGGGATCGCTTTCGCAGATGTGTGGAGGGGCTGAGACTTCCGACGCCGTTTTTTTTTGTTCTTTTCATCTGGCGGCTTTCCCTAAAGCTTAGGTCTCCGTCGTTTCAGGCCCCTGGGACGGCGAGCAGAAAGGCCCGAGATGTTGTCCCCAGGAAGGGGTCGAGATGTTGGATGCCCGCGCGTAGAACTGATGAGGACCTCGGTGCCGCGAGGGCCCTCTTCCCCTTCCTTTCGTACGACGCCTGCTCAAGATAAGCCGGCTCAAGCACACGGCTCTTCTCTCGGGGCTCAGATGAGCCGCCCTACATGTCTTCACCTTACCGCGCGGAACACATGAAGCGGGTGCATTTCCTCGGGCTTCTATCGCTACTGCTCCTTCAGAAGGGGAGCCATGCGCTGCTTCTCAGTCTCGAGGCAGCGCAGGGCAACGTCGCCAGGTCCAAAGCAGCGCAGCCGCCCTCAGCCCAGGTGGCTTTCTACATGAAAGGGGCCCGCGTGCTGCCGAAGCCCGACGTGGACCAGAGGAGCAAGAACGCCCAGGACGCGAAGCATGGCGAAGGAGACGCCCAGCCAGATCCCGGCGACGTGTTTGCGACCCCCGACACGTCCACAACCTCGGTGTTCCCGCCAGAGGACAAGCTGCTGGCCTACGACGCCGAGGGGAAGGCCAAGAAGTTCCCCGTATGGGCCAGATGCCTCGTGTCGGGGACAGGGGTGCTCGCCGTGATGGCGCTGGTGTATTTTTATCCCAGGAAGCAGCCTGTGACCCTCTAAGAGGCCGCCGGGGCGCTCGTGTCGAGCGGCCTCTCGGCTTGAGTGCGTCGAGTGCGCGTGTCAGCAGGTTGCAGCATAATTACCTGGCGGACCAGGAGCCGCCTGGGTGGTCTCCTGCTCTGGAACAAAAAGATCCATAGGAATTCCTGGGCCTTCTTGGAGTCTCAGCTTCGAGGAGCCTCAGCTTCACGTCCTGAAGCAAGATGTCCAGCAGAATCTCCCAACGCCCATGCCTACCATAGCGATCGTTGTTCGAGCTCGGTACGTCCAGTTGGTGCCTGCCGAGCAAGCGCCCACACCTCCGACGTAGCGTTTCGCTGAACAGCACGTCTGGGAGCCTTGAATCTGAAACGCACTGATCAATCTATAGGCGGTGGCTTCCCGTTGCCTCCAGTGGCTTCCCATTGTCGCCCGTGTGGACTGCCGGATCCAGAATCGGTCGGGCGTCGTGGCCTCCCACAGCCTCCCGTGGCCTTCCAATGCATTCGTATCAGGATTCGTTTTCGTTGCAGTAATGCAGGATGATTATTAGTAGATGACCGGGGGTCGTGTTGCGTCGGCGGCGCCCTGGAGGGTGAGTAGAAAAACCGGCCGCGGGCTGGGAAACTCTTCTTTGAATCGTTCCTCCCCTGCCGTCCTCGGGCGCGCGCCCGGACAGCCGACGGGCCAGACGGAGCCGAAGCGGGGGTCAAGGAGAAAGGAGCGGGGGCAACAGCAGCGGGATGCAATTACAACGACGAACGGATCGGATCTCGTAAAATTTGAAGTCGACGTCGAATGATTATTTGACGTGACGTTGGACGACGACGTGAATTGAGCATTCGACGCACGATTCGACGCCGACGTGTAATAGACACATGTTTGAATCGTCCCCCTCCCGCTTAATCATATAGAAATCAAAGGAACAAGTTTTGTTAATCGTCCCCCCTACTCTTTTATTCATCGTCATCCTGTATTAATGGTAGTAGCAATCGTGCTCGTATTTGGCGTCCGAATCGAATCCGTGTTCTTTGTATGAATACCATTTTGGGTGTCAGCATCCGTGTTTTTATTCGTGCCAGTGTTATTATCGTGCCCGTTCTGAGTATTCGCAAGATGTATCGTTTGTTTTCGTATGTGCGGTAGAGGTCGTAGTCTCAGTAGTCGTAGTCGCAGTCGTAGTCGTAGTCGTTCTCGTAATGCTCGTAGTAGTAGTAGTAGTAGTAGTAGTAGTAGTAGTAGTAGTAGTAGTAGTAGTAGTAGTCGTAGTCGTAGTCGTAGTAGTAGTAGTAGTAGTAGTATAGTAGTAGTAGTAGTAGTAGTAGTAGTAGTAGT